CCCCCCCGCCACCGCCCACCCGGCCCTCAGCCCAGTAACGCATTTTCATTTTGGCCCTCCGAGGGGAAAAGTTTGGGCACCCCTGTGTTGGAGAATTAAGATAGTGAACAAAACAATAGGTGTGGTATTGTGAAACATGTAATATACCTCGGGTACACACTGCCCTTTAAGGTGTTGAAAGGGAATAACAATAATAGTCATAAAAGGAGTATTTGTATCGATTTTGTTGTACAACATAGAGACAATATGTCAACCAGGAGTTTTTAGCTTTTATTTGAAAAAAAAATGTGTTTGTCATAACTGGTGTAAGGTTAAAAAATTTAGCAGTTCTTTACTTTGTTTTGTCCTGCTTGCGACTGTCGACAAGGACAGTGTATTGCTGACTGCCATGTGACCTGCCTCCAGTGGATTCCACAGAGGGGTGGGACCTGGGTGTGGCTGCGCCACCACTCCTGCACACACACACACACACACACTGGTCTCTCAGTCCCATTGTCATGGGACAGAGCCCCCTCTGTGTCTGTAAACAAAGGTAAATGCAACTCAATGCACCTTCCCCCCAGCCGACAACCCGCACACAGCCAAGGCCTGAAATTAAACCAAACTCCTTCTGGATACATTTTGTACTTCACATACAGTATTTCTTGTTAATTTTGTATAAGAAGCCAAACGAATCATGTGACATGTTGAGCAAATGTTCAGCAATCTAAAGCACTGAGGGTAAAGTCAGGTTTTTCTAAGCTAAGGCTTTTTTCTATAGTCGTCATTTTCCACCAAAATGCAACAATCACAAAGAAAGAAAACATCGACATAAGCAGTCTGAATCTACACCAACAAGATGAGGAAATAGACCAGAACACACTGTGACTACAAGACTGAATAAAAGTACTTTTACATGACATAAAAAACACTTCCTGTGTAGTTCTGTAGAAAGTGAAGAAAATAACATACTTGCAGGAAACAGGAACTGGTGGATTTGTGTCTTATTTAACAGTAAAGGGCAA